TCTTGCAAGGAGATCATGTTACTTTATCATTATCTCAGCCCTGATCTTCTAGAATCAGAGATTTACAGCTGGGTATGCAGGCAAAAAGGAAAGTCTTGGAAATCGTAACCGACCTCAGTTAAGTAATACAACTGTATGGAAGTCATGGCTTGGGGTACGGAAAAGAAGACCCTAGAATGAGGATTTTCAGTCTTTACAGTTGTTAGAAGCTCCTGGACTAGTGCTGAGACTCACAAAAAGCAACCAAGTAAAAACAAGCCTAATGTATAGCAAATGTAAACTTCTGATATGGCCTGCTTGTTCTGGGAACTGTGTGTAAGTCGGCTAGATGAGTTCTCCAGAAGCCTTAGCTAGAACTTTGGCTGTCCGGTCTCTGTTTTTGTGCCGACCTCGGTCCACTGGTTGCACAAAACTCCTCCACTGTGTAACTTACTAAAGAGGCTGCTATTAAAAATGTTGTAGAAGCTTATATCTTTGAAAGCTTTGTTCTGTAAGGTAGCTTAAAATACTCTGAAGTGTTTGTGTGCAGTGGCTGGCTGGGTGAAACGTCAAGCTGAAAAGTTTAGATGCCGTACATAGCTGCTACATGTAGCCATGGGGCTGTTTCTGCTTAGTCATTTTTGTTGACGCCGTTTTGCTTTTGGATTGGTGAAAGTCTCTTGGCTTTTATAAAGGCAGTTTTAGTGAGTGTGGGAACATCAGTAGCTTGGTGTAAACTAAACACTGAAACTGGAAGCACAGCTTATGGTACTGTGTTGGCTCAAGTTTAAGGCAATGGTAACTTAGTTCTGCTTTAGTAAGAGCTAAACCACTAAAGGAGCACTGTGTTGTGTTGGCAGATCATGTGGGAGGCTGGGCATTGGGCATTAAAGTCTGTTCTGGACTGAAACAACTCTGTTGGATTATGGGCTTTTAGTAGGCCTCGCCTCCAAAATCAGGTACTGGTTCAGGACTGGGATGAAAGGAACTGAATGTCGAATTTATAAGCAGCCACAGGATTCTGTTCCCAGTATGTTGCTACTTGGCAGCTGTCCAGGCTGTGCTGCTTTGGCTGTCAGCTGCTGCTTGAGCTGTGAAGGGCTCTACCTGAAACTGCTTCGAGACTGAAGGGAAGAATTTTTTTTTCCTCTGGAAGAAAAATTTCTGTTACATTAAACTATCAGAAATGCAGAAAATACTGGCAGAAATACTCAACCACAGAGTGTAATATATAGACGTAGCAAGTAAATTGCACATAATTGGGCATGGACATGATGGAAGTGTGTTAATGTACTCATTTACGTTTAAAAAGTACAGCATATGTTTAGCTAAACATGAAATCTCAAACTACATGTTGAAAAAAATAACGTGGTGGGATCCAGTTCATTATAGGTGTCTGAATTCTCTGCTTCTCCAGGACTTGCAGGCTACCGCTTCAACAGGGCTTTGTAGAGGACCAACACCAACAGCTTGTTCCCCATCTCCCTGCCTGGAGGAGGGAATTCCATCCTTGGCTTTATGAAGCATATTCATCATCTGTGTGTTTGCTTAGGAAGACTCCTCTTCAGGCTGCAAGCAGTTAACTGCTGTGGCTGGTAGGAAGTGACAGACACAGAGAACAGGTGTCTGGTTGTCTGGAGTTGTCCAGAGGGCGGTGTCGGTGTCACCAGCCGCTCTGCTTGGGGGGCAGCAGCCCTCTGCCTGGCAGCGGGCCCCTGGGACTGACCATAGTGTGTCTGGGCTCCTTCCTTGCCGTGGTGGCATCGCTGTTCGTGGGGGATTTTGGTGCGTGGATTTTGCTGCTATGTGAGACTCGACTCATAAGGAGATAGGTGATACTACTAGTTAACTTTCCTGATACGCAGCATTGGCTATATCCGGAGGAAAAAAAACAAAACCAAACAAATCCTAGGCTTCAGTGTTTGCAAGTTTTAATGAGTAGCAGCTCTTAGCTATCCATGGTAAGCAGCCAAGGATGATGTTTTTCATGTGCCAGTGCAAAACTTTCCTGAGATCTCCTTTTTTGTCTGCCAGCCAGCCATTAGTTGATGTACAGTTCAGCGTAAATAATCTGGATGGAAAAGCTCATTTTAACTTGCCTATGGTAATTCTGTATACCTCTAGCAGATAAGGTGCCAGATCTTATGTCCGTTGTTTTACCTCAACATATTTGTGCAAGCAGTACCTATTTGAATTATGCTTCAGTACTTGATACCGTGGAACGAAAATGAGAGCCTTTTACAAGCAGAGACTGATGCCACCTCCTGTAAAAGAAATAACATCATAATTTGCTTTATAGGCAACATCCACTAAGCAAATTCCCATGACTGCTGTAACTGAAGATTTTTGTCAATGGCTGTTCCTTTCATACAGTTTACAGGTTTTCTGCATTACAAGAGTTGGCATCCAGCAATGTTATTCCTTCTCACAAGATCTCTTGCAATATAGTGCTGCAAGGTCTTAGGTATGAGTCAGAGTGTAAGAGCCAGCTTTCATTGGGAACAAGTACATGAAAAATGTTTCAAAGGACTTAAGGATAAAAAAAGTTATTTAGAAACTGAGACAGCTGTAAAAAGAAATTGAAATAGCACAAATCAAGAAACAGAGAGGAAAATGTGTGTTGGACTCAAAAATAGTGTGGCATATTTAGATAGAAGCATGCTGAATTTTCCAGAGTCTTAACTTAAGGCAGGCTTGTTTACAGTCTTATCGTTGAGAAGTGATAACTAGCAAACAATAAGGAAGCTAAATGTGAGCAGCTTGAGTTACAGCAGTTTACACAGAACTCGACATAAATCCTTTTTTTCCTTGTGGAAACACAGAAATGAGGTAACTTGTGTTTTGGAGGCTTAAATTCAAGTTTAAAAGTCTTAAGGTGAGATACTGAAATCTAGTATTTGCACTCTTTCTGTTGACTTCTGTATTTGTTATGCTGGATATTCTCTATTGCAATACTAATACAATAGCTGAAAGGATGACTTAAGTGTCCTGAACAGAGGTGGCTTTTTTGCACAAGCAGTAGACAATTTTTTTTAATAAAATCCTGCATGAAAAAGCAGATTATATTCAACTACGTGGTGGAACTTTCAATATACGATAGTAGGAGGGTGGTAAGGGACAGGTGAAGTCCTCACTTCATGTGAGACACTTGTGTTGTCTCTCTGCCTCTTTCACCTAAAATTAAATAGAAATGTTACTCAAGCATATGCAGCTGTTGCCACAAAGTTTCATATATGCCAGAGGGTGAAAACTGGTCTGCTTAGTGGAGGTGTAGCTGTGCGATAGTTTTTGGGTTTGAAGCTTGCATCTTGGTTAAATAGCTTGTGATACTACCTTTTGTTTCAGGCTTTGTCTTGAGAAAACAGGATTTGGTTCAATACCTAAGTCTTTGTTCTGCAACTTGGAGAGTGAATGGTTGACCTCATCTGTTGACTAAACCCCTGCTGAGTAGCTTCTAAGAAAAAGCCCTTTTAATGTCTTTCTTGGGATTTTAGCATTGAGGGATCTATGTGGATAAATTTGACTGAATTACCAATGGCCAAACAAAGTTGGTATTCCTGTTTTTTTGTCTGCTTCTTCAGGACGCTGGTCCTTCATGTGAGCTGAGCACTTTCTTTTCCCTTGTGGACTTACTATTCTGTGTAGGGCTTGAATTGATTCTTCTTGTATTTTTTTAACCATACTTTAAATAGTTGAGAACTTAACTGATAAACAGTGACTGGGAGCTTATGGGCAAATCAGTTGGACTTAATGGAAGCCTTTTCATAAAGGTATGAGGTTCTCACTTGAAGTTCTTCTGCACGTACCTGAGGGCACTATGAGGACTTCTGAACTTACATCTGTAATGCCCAGAAATCAACACAAAATACAGCTATTTGTTTTACGAAGAGGGAATGTGTAGATGAACTATACTGTGGAATATAGTAAGGAGGGCTGGGTAATGTCTGACAGGATTTAAAAGAAGTGCAGTAGGAGTTGTAAAACAAAACAAAATCCCTCATTTAATCTGGAAATTACTGACCAACTGAAGGAGTAACTTTTTCTCCCCTTCCTCTATCCTAAATACCCAAGATCTATCAGGACTCTGTATGTACTGGTGGAAATGCTGGATCAAGAATTTCAATTTGGCATCAATGTGGTATTTAAATTTGGTTTTGACTTAAAGCTGTTGATTGAGAGACATTCTCTCCCCCTCCTACCCCAAGTGAACTTTAGGTAGAACTCATCTGAGGCGTTTATTTAGAAATCTTACGCTTTTTCCTGGAGCAGGCTGAAAGTGAAAGTCAGTCAAGCCTACATCTAGGTCTGACTTCTGCATAGGTATTTCCAGATGAGCCTTCTGTTTGGCAATAACTGTATGAAGTAGCCTATAAGCGTAGAATCCTGTATTGCTTATCACTAATGGATAAAACTGAAAGAAAAGAAAAAATTTTTAAAAACCCAAACCTAAACAGCATGACAGCTTATCTTCTATGCTCTCTGCTAGTAGTTCAGTAGTAAATCATTATCTCCAGAATGCCCTGGGCAAAGAAACACTTTCGGATTCTGAAAAAAATAATTTAAGGGAAGTAGGATGTTAGTTTTAAATAAAACCATAGTGTGACACTGTTTTCTGTTAAAATCTTCTAGAGTTAGAGATAGACTTGAGTTTAATCTGGCTCCTCAGGGTTCTTGTAAAGCAGTATGGCTTTTTTTTGGTAGAAAACCTGTTTTCTGACTTGCATGCACACCTATTGGTATCTAGTTTAGAAGACCATGTCCCACAGTTCTGAGTTGTTCTGGCCCTTCCGCTCATGATGAACATAGATAGTTTTAGTCAGACTATGGGTCTTGGCTCTGGCAACGTGCTGTTGTGTGTGGTAGGGAGCTGAGGGTACTCATCCAGGCCATACAGCCAGTCAGTAGGGGCCAAATCACTGAAAGTCATGGGGATTTTTCGTTATGTATAGAGGCATGAGCGAAAACAGCAAATGCATATCATAGACGCCTAAAGTCACTCTTAAATTCTTTTTCCTACACAGAGCTCAACAAAAATCCAGTGGAAGGCTTTTCAGCGGGCTTAATAGATGACAATGATCTTTATCGATGGGAAGTCCTTATTATTGGTCCTCCAGATACACTATAGTAAGTACTGATACTTATACAGAAACTTAAGTGAACTCGGGTTTACTAGTTGTAGTTTGGTCTAAGTGAGTAGAAGTTTACCTAACTTTGTCCATATGAAGATTTAGGTTATGCTTACTGCTGTTCTGTTGCTAGTAAAATACCTGTAAGTAGCTGAATTTGCTATATAGAAGTTCGAAACTGCTTTGCTCCCTTGGGATAATGCAACACTGATCCCTTTGTACTTGTGTAGAAATAAGAAAGAGTAGGCCATACTTAGAGGCAGCTTCTGCTTTCTTGCGCATTTAAGTAAGATGGGTGTAATCCCCTATTTGCTGTTACTGCTGTGAGGCTCTACGTTAGCTGATAGTACAATTTTAAACCATTGTAACTTCATGCCGGTGATGTAGGAAGATGTTCAGAAGAGGTGTGGTTGGGGAAATGGCAGCAGACTCTACAATCAGCTTTAAGTCCTGTCAGTTTGAGATGGGAGAACTTCCTAGTGTGGCCTAGAGTAAGTACTTCAGTGTTGGTCAGATTTGAATTGTTGGCAAACATTGCACAGTGGGCTTCAAAAAGTTTGTATCATTACCCTCAGGACTGGGTTCTTTAATTGACATTTGAACACAAAACTATGCAGTTCAAGTCCAGGAAAAGAAGTTACTGTATGACGTTCACTGTGGTTTAGCACTGCTATACACCTGAAGCACTCTGGCACATGCAGTGTGGTTTGTTTGGGTGTTTGTCTCTTGTTTTCTCTCTGTGTGTCTTTTTTTTTTTTTTTTTTTTTTTTTTTTTTTTTAAAAAAGGATTGTTTTAAAAAACAGCTCTGGCTAATTGAGGGAATGATTTCTTTCTCAAAGAGGTGATACATGGTCATCTATTCTAGCTCCTGGGAAAAGGTTCTATGCGCAGAAGAGCTCAGTTTGAAGTGTAGCTCTTGCAGATGAACTCTGTTCTCCTCTATTAAGCTGTTCCAGTGGTAAATTACTGATGCAAAAAGCCTACGGACATTTACTTGAGGTCAATGTTAGTTCCTACTTGAAGTTGTTGTATACCTCTGCCTGCAGACTTCTGAATAAGTACTTAAGCACAGTAATCAAACTGCTTTGCTTCTCCTCAAGCTTACTGCATTGTGATTCTCAAGTATTGCATGAGATGAATTCTCCAACTTCTGTTGACCTCTTTCGAACAGTCTTACAGTGGCTTCATTATATTCTCATGGCCATTTCATTAATACTGTCAGTAAAGAAATACTGCTTCTAATTGAATGTCATCTTAGATGTTAAAAATTGCAGTAGCTTTTTTCCCCACTTCAGTAAGGTGCTGAGCTTGTTTTGAGGCTTTATTAGATAAGGTCTCTTCTGTTCCAGTCCCTAGTTGTTGCTTTTGAAGGTAGTAGTATACTGAATCCTTCCTCGCTGCTCTGTTTTGTGATGACAGTAGAACATAAGTTTAACTTAACCAGGCAGTTCAAAATTTTCAAACTTTAGTCTCATTCCTGGTCCTGCTTTATTCTGAGTTTACCTAAAAAGACTAGACTCGGTGCATGACTTTACTGACAGAGACCCCTTTATCAGGAATATTGCTAAAAATGGTACTGATCTCCCTTAATTGACAGCTGTATTTTGTTAACTGGTTTCTAATGTGTATCCCATTAAAGAGCTGTATTTATATGTAGTTGATGAGGGGCAACCAGGTATGTCATACAGCCCAGTAGCTTTAGGCTCTGCTCCTTTAAGAAAGGAAAGAACCTTTTACTTTGAAAGAAAGGATTTAACTGGTTTGGGGCTATCAACACACGTAGTTTAACTCTCCTTTCTCTTGACTAGCATGGATGTTAAAATAGCCAGCGTTTCTGGAATTCTTACCCTTCCCAGGATGAAGGATTCTTTGGGAACTGTCTACCTTTTCTAGAACTTGTGGAAAATGAATGATGGGGTTTCAGGTCGCCTCAGCTGCTCTATTTTTAAGTCAAGTCACTTCAATCTAGTGCTTTTTGGGGTTGGGGTTTTTTTTTGAGACACGTGCTAGAATTGCACATCTTTGGTTAGTGGTGGTAGAACTTGGTATTTTCTCAGTAGCCTGAGGGCTTGGATAGTGGCATCTGCTTTACAAATACAGGAAAACAAATTGCACTGAACAGCTCTTTCCTACACCAGTTATGTTGTCTGCATGGCTACTGAGGAGTAGCTTGTCACACTGCACGTCTCATGCTACCTTCTTTGGAGGTTATGTTCATTTTTGTAATCTCTGCCTTTGCAATTTAAAATGTTACAAACTTCAGTTACAAGAAATGACAGTAACAAGACAAATGCTATGGTACTTAACATTAGTGTAGTAATCCATCTATAAGACTTTCCATTTAATATAGGCCTTCACATTTTTCAAAAGGGACTGTTCCTGGATATTGAAACCTACTTATTTAAAAAAAAAACCAAAACCAAACACAACAAACTATACTTAGCTTAATAAGGGCGTGTAACTTCACATGAAAACTGAATGTCTCGTTTGTTAATGTTTTCCAGTTTAGTGGGTAACTAATGCAGAACACCTTGCTGTCTTGTCTGAGTCCCTTTAGCTTAGTGTTGAAAAGGTAGTATCGGAAGTCTTTTAACAAAGTAATGCTACAGAAACAACTATAAGGTCTTCTGTAACTTTTCACTGAGGCTCACTGCTGCAGACTGATATCAAGAAATTAGGACTGAGGTGTCTAAAGGAGGAAAATAAACAGGTATCTGCTGAGCTGTACTTGAGAAAGGGAGTTACTGGCAATATCTCTTTTTGCTGTTAATAAATGTACTGGAAGGAAAAAATGTAAGTTATAATTCCAGATGGTGAATCCCTTGGCAGGATTCTTTCTGGTGTGGTGTTTTTTCCCTCTAGAACATCATCCTATTTCTAAAAAAGATACAGTGTTGGGGAATTGGCAGTATTGTGTGAAAGGATCTTCTCAATCTAGAAACTCTGCATTGCATATAGAAATGGTGGTACTGTTAATTACTAGCATGATGTTAAGCTGTGTGAGGGGTAAACTTGGAGCCTTTGATACATCAGTAAGTTCCAATCTTCAGCTTAAGCTACAAGAAACTCTACTAAGATATTTTTGATTCCCCAGTGAAGGTGGTGTTTTCAAGGCTCATCTTACTTTTCCGAAAGACTATCCACTGAGGCCGCCAAAAATGAAATTCATCACAGAAATCTGGCATCCGAATGGTAAGAAATGTCAAAGTTTCAATTTCTTTTTGCAATTAAGAACTAAAATGTGGTGAAGACAAATGGATACATTTCTGTTCATGTTATAAATATGAAACTCTGCATTTACTGTTGCCATCTTCACGTCATAATGAAATAATAACCATGGCAGAGTTTTTAACAATGCTGCTCTGAGAAACTGCTCCTAAAATATTTTCAGAAGCTACTGAACGTAGCTTCTTGAATTCGTGGCAACTGTTCAGGGATTTATTTTTTTCCTAAGTGTGACATTCTGGTCTGAGGAGAAACTTGAATTCTATAGCCGCCTTTTGTTATACCTTCAAATATTTCATGTTGGTATTACTAACTTGGCAGTTTAGTATAGAAGGCCCAAGGTTGTCCTCCTCCAGTGAAGCATGAAAGGAAGTAACAGCATCTTTTATTCCCTCCAAAGGAGACTCCTCCTAATGTTTCATTTACTTATGGACTGCTGGACATAAATGGGAAGGTAAAATAAAATGGAAGAAGGTTTTTACTGAAAGGTAAAATAAAGTGGAAGAAGGTTTTTACTGAGAAGGATGAATGCTCTTCAGTTTCTGAAATCATATTGAAGTTGTAGATGTTGAAAGCTGGGAGGAGACCACCACAGTGCTCTGATCATAAGGGACAGACACTATTTTGATGCTCTGTCAGTTTTGGCTCTGGAAATACCAGAGTACTTGTCAAGCAGTTTCTAATTCTGGCAGCTTAAATCATATTCCAATATATTGCAGTAATATCCAACTGATACTGTGGAAAAAAAAGTCAGTGTCTAATTTGCTGAACTTAACAAAAAAGCTGTAGTGGAAGCCTATTTAAATAGTCTTGAAAGTTGCAGCACGATGCTAGAGTTAAGTTCTTCCTCCTCATGTGCCCTCTCTGCCAGAAGTCCAGGCATAATAACAGACTTCCATCACACCATATTTATTACAGATGGAGTTCTGTAATAGTTAATTACTTTCCTGTTTTGTAAAGGGTCTTCACCAATGCATTTTCAGACTAGCTGGAGTGAAGATTTAATGGTTCCATAATAATCCTGAAGAAATGCCAGCATGTTGTTCATTACTAAAATATGCCTTGTTCTATTTTGTAGTTGACAAGAATGGCGATGTCTGCATTTCAATTCTTCATGAGCCTGGAGAAGACAAATATGGCTATGAAAAACCTGAGGAACGCTGGCTTCCCATTCACACAGTGGAAACTATAATGATTAGTGTTATTTCTATGCTGGCAGATCCCAATGGTGATTCTCCTGCTAATGTTGACGCAGCGGTAAGATTCTTCTTGGTTTGCCAATTGTCTTCAGTATAGAAACCTAAACTTGCAGTGGAGTATTGATTCTAGTTTGGCAAACAGTACAGTAACTTTTGGAAGAACCTTGGATATCACAGGCTGAAGCTGCCTTGTTTAGGGAGGAGGAAAGCAGTCATGTTGTGAAACAGAACTACTAGTTGGCCCTGGGAAGTTTCTTGCAGATCGAAATTTGACAGCATCTTTTCCTTGCATAGGCAGTGGTTAAATTTCTCTTATGCAATAATGCATATATTTATAGTAAATAATGTGTGCAGAAAGGTACTTAATGGATAAACTTGAGCTCCTTTAGTCTTAAAAAATTTAAATAAGCTGGTGGTGAAATCCTGTGTGGCTATATACATGTAGCAGTTACAACTGCTGTTAAGTTTAGCTGCAGCGATTAACATACACAAGAATCTTTTTTGGTTCCTTGTATATTATTAGTATAAAGCAGCAAAATTTTTGTCTTGGAAACTATTAAACTGTGGACAGATTTATTGATTTGAATGGAAGGAGGAGATGTGGGGTCCCTCAGTATAATTATGTTGTGAATTTTTGCGTCCACTTCTCTCATCCCGGTCTTCCTGGGTCGTGGATTAAAGCACTAGGTTTGACTGTGTAGGTCTGTGCTTTAAGAATGTACTTGAAAGCTTCACTGGGCATCTGGCCTTCAAATCTGGAGGAAATGTTGTCCCAGACTAGAATGACTAGCTAAGGAGTGAGGAAGAATGGCCTGGTTTATAGTCAAAGACCAGGGTGAATCTGCAGTAGGGATTCTGTCATAAGCGAGATGCAAGTGTTTCGTGCAGCATAGTGTTTCTGGAGCATGGCCTGTTCTGCGTGGGTGTATAAACACAGCTATCAGCTCTCTAGAAGAGCTGCATTTATAGCAGAATAGCAATTAGACTAATAACTATTTGTGGTGGGGAGGGAAAAAATTCTCAGTTCTGAGGGGAGTAGGGGAACAAACTTCAGGTCCCATTCATCTGAGATACGCCAAGATGTTTTCCTTTGAATTACTCTAGAATTGTAATTCAGTACTGACTAATAGATGATACCCTCTCACAGAAGAGAAGTTCTAAATCTTTTAACTGGGGTAATGAGGAAAAGGGAGATGGTAATCAGAAGATGCAAAGTTTTCTAGAAGCATGTTAACCTGCTCTGTCAACCTAGCTATACCTTCCCCAAGCAGGTGGGAGTTTAGTTTCATGAAGCCTTTGACTACTATGCTGTTAGTATTTCCAAAGGTGCTTGAGCTCTGCTGAAAAATTGTCATGGGAGTAGTCTCATGTGGAACAAATTAAATGGGAAGAAAAACAGACAAAATTGTAATGAAGAATTCCCTCATTTAACATTCTTTTGAGTGTTGGACCTCCCCATCTTGTGCCACGTTACTGGTGAAAGCAGATACCCAGGACACATGGCTGTTTTCTGGTGGCAAAAGTACCCTGAGAGCACTGGAAGGAGCAAGTTATTAATGAAATACTAAACGTACAGTTAGAATTCCTCAGTTTAGACTCATGGATGTTGAATGTAGCTGACCTAACACTGGAGAAAGCTTCTACTTTTAGCTATGCTTGTGACCTCCCTAGCATCTCACAAGCTTTTTAATCTTTCTGTAGTGTGCCCCACTGTCTGCCAGCCACTTCAGGAGCTATTTTCTTACGTTTTTTTCTTCCTCCAAGAGAGATGTTACATAGAAAACTATGAATTTGTTTACTTAAACTTTAGTTAGAGTAAAGGTTGAAACTGCCTTAAGGAAACACGGCGTTTTCTAGCCCAGCTTGAAGGAACAAAAACTTCAATCCAAATGCAACTGTGAAGACAGTACTGATGTAACCTTTGGATGCTAGTAACCGTTTTTCTGACTGTGGTATTAGATGTTCCAAGTAATTTTTAAACTTAATGTGCTGCTTCAACAGCTTAGCATCTCCTGCTGGATTGTAGACTACATATACTCATCAGTGTAATGAAGAATCAGCAGCTCATGCTTTATTCTGAGCTGCTATCAAGATGTCTTCTACTTGGTTTATGAAGTACAAGTTTACTGCAGCAACAGCATTTGGCAGTTACTGAAAGATGCTTTGTCTGCTTTCATTAATTTCCAGTTTTAAGTGAGTCTAGAGAACAAGGTGTTACAGGCAGGTCACAGCATTACAGGAGCATGGGATTCGCTTGCTTCCTGGAAAAATGAACTATGCGTGTTGGAGTACTGTCTCTTGGAGTGTGAGGAAAATGAGGAACAGTGGCCTGAACAGATACTGCAAGAAGCAAATAGAACAGTTCATGACCTCAAATAACAGTTTTGGAGAGATTGCTGTGAAGTTGCAAACTTTGCTCACTGTTCAATTCTGAATACTTGCTTCAAAGTACTACAAATAGAAAAAGTGGAAATGAAAACTAAGAATCTGATGCTAGGAGGGCACAAATTCAATGCTTTTCTTGGCCTTAAGCCATCTTGTGTAAGCTGTCCTATGTCCCAATCCAAGGAACCAAATGTTTGCTGTATTAATTGCTGAAAAAGAACAAATTAATTAGTAGCCGTATTTGTGCTTTCACTGGGAAGATAAGATGTGCTGGGCTTTCCAATGTGCTGACTGGCTAGGTGAGCTTGGAGGTGGTGAATGTTCAGATATACCAGTTACCCTAACTTTCACTCAAATGTGCTACAGCCTTCCCCCAAAGTAGGGGGTTAAAGAGTGTTGTGTGCTAGGTTGCTTCACATTGAAGAGCGTGGTGGGGTTTTTTAACCCCTTCTCCCACCGCTGCAGTAAGAATATTTTGTTTGTATCAGAAAGTAAGAACTGTAGAACTTCATTAAATAAGATATTCTTCATGTTTTCCCACCAATTCCTTGCCAGTACCAAACACGTCACAGTGTATGATGCTCCTGTGCTTTCATCTGAGTTCATCATGAGGCTGGCACATAAAGCTTAAAAACTAACTGTACTTTTTCCTGTGGGTTTTGGTGATACCATGGTCTGCGCATCTCCGGGTTCAGGCTTGCCTCTTGCCTATCTGCATGTTCATCTTTAGCTTTGTTCTTCTTCTGTGCAGTTCTGAAATCAAATACCTGTCAGAAACCATCCCCATAGATGTACTGAGTATTCTGTTAAGCTCTTGCTCATGAAGCCAATATCTTGCAGCCGTATTTAGCGAGGAGGTGTTTTCTTTTGAAGAACACTGCTGTGCCCCTTCTGAATACCTGTGACTTCTGTGTTCCTATCCTGGAGTGTCCTGGCGAGATTGAGAGGGAGTTGAAACGGTTCTAAAAATCACGGAATAACTACTGACTGCAGCAGCTGTGTACCTTTTTTCCATCACTGCAGTTAAAGACGCTTTCTCTAACCCATAACAATAGCCTGTGGTCTACAGTTTTTGTTTTCTGCTACTTTGCAGGCTGAAGTAAATAGATTTTGGCCTAGAATTGTGAAACATTGGTAGCCACCAGGTTAGTCTTGGAGAATGCCTAAAATCCATGGGGGAAAGGCTGTGTTCTCACTGTCTTGCAGAAACCCAGAGCAAGCTTTCAAAAGTCCTGAATGTCACAGGTTTTAGTGAGTAGCTCAATGTCTGTAAGCGAATTTAGGTGTTGACTAGATGGCTAATGCCTAAAAACAAACACAAAGAGCCTTCCTGGAACTTGTACGTTGTTGTAGGACTGACATCTGAAAGCTGTCTATTCAATTACAGAAAGAATGGAGAGAAGACAGAAATGGAGAATTTAAAAGAAAAGTTGCCCGCTGTGTAAGAAAAAGCCAAGAAACTGCTTTTGAGTGACACTTAATCAGCAGCTAGTAGCTTCACTTTTTTCAGGGTAAGTATCCTTAACATGAAGTCAGTTACCCGAGTTGAGGATTTCCTCTTGCAGTGTTGCTGAACTTTTTTTTTTTTTTCCTCAAAAGCAAAAAAAAAAAAATACCCCCCCAACTTTTCTTCTCAGCTGCGCGCGACTAAAGACTGAAAGAATTTTTAAGTGCAGTAACAGTCCCTTCTGCGAAGACTGGGGAACTTCTCTAGTACTCTTGCATTTATGCTGTTCAGAAGTTGCAATTCTCTTTATCAGTATTCATCCTGCTTTATTACAGCTCTGGTACGCCCTAAGCACTATTAATAGAAGGGAGTAATCATTCTTTCATGTTCATTATTGTGAAGAACACTTGTTTGAATCTGAAAAGCATCCTGTCTTGCTAACTGACGTGCATATTTATATATACACACAGAGTTTATCTTGCAGATGTTGGTGACACGTTGCATGTAGGTTTTCAATAATGACTTCAGTGAGTTTTTTAGGAACCATTTGGAAAGGAGCACTTCAGGTATCTATGAGAATTTTTATAGAAAGTCTACTAGCATATCGGAAAGGATCAAGCTGAGAGATTACACATCGCTAATACCAAGAAAGGTGGTGTTCTCTTCAGCAGCCCTAAAAACTTTTCTGCTGGGGAAGGCTTAGGAATAGTTTCAGAAGAACAGCTGTATTCTGCTTGGAAACTGAACAGAGAGCCTGGACAGGTCTTGACCTGAGAGTAGTTGATGTGATGTTTACATTGTATGTCACCTTGTTAAAAATGAGCTGCTGACTCAAGATGCTTACTCTAGTTTGAACAATCCCATCCTAGTTTTAGTGAAACTTTTTTTAACATTAAGCTCTTGTAGAAAGCTCGCTATTAAAACATGGCCTTTAAATACCTGGCCTTTTGGTCACTTTAATCTTGGTATGCCAAGGAAAAACTTCCTTGACTAGCTAATAATTTCCTACTCTTGCTTTTCAAAGCAAAACAGAGCTTCATGTTGAAGCTGCCTCTCCTTAATGGTTGGTTTGGCAAATAAACTACTCTGACCCGTTTGGCTGGAGAAGCCCAAAACCATATGTACTAGTTAGCTTCAGCATACAAAATGAGGAGGAGTGTGGGGGGGGAAGAAATATGACACTAAATGTCATTTAAAGGGGTTGTACTGTCTGAACAACTAGAACAGCTCCTGCTAGTTAGTTTTTCTTCACCAAGGTTGTACAGGGGATGCTTCCTTTCTTACACTTCTGTAAGAATTGTGGGGGTGGGGGAAGGCTCCATCTGTGACAAACTAGTACTGCAGTATCTCCTCTGCAGAAATGCTTTGACTGAATGGCACTTTCTCCAGTATAGAGAAGCATGAAAATGCTTAATGTTGAGCAAAAGACTAAGCAAAGGAACTGAATGTCTTATACAACTGCCTGTAACTAGAGTGTAAGAATTGTTAATGCAGCTGACAGTTTCCTCTGTCTGACAGAAAGGGACTGTAATGCTCCAGAGTATCCTTAACTAACCTCAGCTCTGTTGCCATGTTAAACTTGGCCATGGTAAAACAATGCTCATGACAAATATTTAAGTAATTGGCTGTGTTGCTTTTTTGGAGGGCGAAAGCTTTTCTAAGTCCTGGTGACTCCTCCTAAGTAAGTGATGGGCAATGAGTTGGATGAGAAGGGGACACGTAGCTGGTTTCAAACAAGAACAGTCTGACTTTGTAGCTGTGGTGTTATTGCTTAACGAAGCACTGCTATGCCATTTTGTACTGCACTTCGCTGTTGAAGCAGCATCCATCATTCACAGTAAGTGACGCATGGAAGTTTCAGTGATAAATCGGCAAGTGTTTAGCCCTATGTGTGAATAATCAAACGTTTACACGCTACGTGCTTGACAAGCAACAGGAGTAACAGAAGCCTGAAAGTCTGATAGTTGAGCTTGGATACACAGTATGGTGAACTAACTGAAGTCTTTCTCAGGTGATTATTTTGGATTTATACATCTTCTGTTTAGAGGTATGTAAAGTTCTTGAACAAGTAATTATTATCTTCCTTGAGCTTGAAACACTATTTAACATCTTTAAAATAATTGAGGATAATGAGGGGGTTTTATTTTAATAACTGTGATTTCTTTGTAGGTCTTCAATTGAGAAACATGGCACTGTTTTTTTCCTGCACTCTACCCACCTTTTGCTGGACTTCTGTTGTTACAAGTTGGCAAACACTGGCTGGAACTGGGCTGCAATAAAACATGCCAGTTATCAATGCTGACAAGAGCCTAACAAGTGCCAACACAAGATGATTACGCATTTTGAAATCTAATGAACTGCTTTAACCTTCAGGAAGAATTGTAAAGATGTGTACATAGCACAACATGATCCGGATAATATATATACTGTTCATGTACATCCACAAATACACATTGTACCAAATAATGCTGTCTGTAGTTAGGAATAGAATCGTGTAAATTCTAAAGATTTTAGCAGGTTTTTCTCTCCCTATTCATTGTTTCCTATCAATTTTAAAAAAACAACAACTTGTGAAGCATGTCAGACTAAAACCAATTTGGACAAAGTTGTTTTGTTTTGGTCCCCCCCTTAATTTTTCCTTTGACCCACTGAGGCTTAATTAAAATCTCTTGCTTATTAAAGTTTAGTATCTCTTTTATTGGTTTTTGGAAGTGTGCTCCCTTTTATTTCCCCCATCAGAACTTAAAAATTTTCCTAATTAAACCCTGAAAGAATTTGCTATCAATTACTTGTGTCTTCTTTTTATGATGACCTTTGTAGTCCCAAAGGTGCTTCCCCCCCTTATTTAAACCCAATTGCCCATAGTTCTTGAATTGGGTATAGCAATAAAACTGGCCACGGAGCAGCCTGCTGGATTTTTAACTTCCAAGGGACTTGAGCGCTTTCATTTGGAAGTTCAGTTGACTAAGTTAGTCCATGATAGGAATGAGCTGCTTTTTATGGGTGATATTTTCTTCTTTTGCCTTTTTCATTGCTTGTTTGTGGGGTGGGGTGTGGGGGGGGGAGGCTTGTTTTTTCTCAAGGTTGAGTTCAAGCATGCACATCTGTAGGCTTTCAAATTATTAACTTCTGGGTTTGGTATCAAAAATAGTTTCCCTCCTCTTTCCTTTTTCTCTTCTGTGCCCCTTCATATTCTTTGCCTTCTACTTCAGAGTTTTCCTCATCTAATGTACAAAGAAAATTGCGATGTATATTTTCATGTAATTTGATTTTTTGGAATTCTGTCACCTTCTGTAGTGAGTTCTTCCAAAATATAATTTTTTCCAATAATAATGTGTCAAACTGCCTGTTTTGAGTATCTAAATAGGAAGGGTAACTGCAGCTGGAGCACAACTTACCTGAACATCTTCAACAACATAACATCAGCAAACACTTGTTGAATTTGATATACTGTATTTAATTTTGAAATAATTAAAAAGCAAACAGAACACACACCTTTCTTCCTATTGTAACCATCTTTGGCCCTCCAGTGAGCAAATGCTAATCTCGGACTATCTGGTAACAGTTTTCCAGGCCTACCTGAAATACCTCTCTACCAAAGAAACTTTCTAAAGGAACTTGCAACTACTTGACTGTTCTCTGCTCTGTCACAGGTTCACCACAGCTTTTAACAGCACAGAGTAACCCACTAATAAATCAAGAGTTCCAGTGCTAAAGAGTCATCTCATAAGAAGCCTTCAGTACTAACTTGCTAGCAACCTGAAATGAAGTGCAGCCAGCTGTGCAACATGCATATACTGAAAGGCAGATATTGCAGGTTTCTGGAGGGGTGTGCTGGGGCGGAAGGAGATGACAGTTATTAGTGGCAATACAGCCATATGGGACAAAAAAAGCCATTTAGTAAGTACAAGATGACTTACAAGTAAAGGTATTGCTTCCTCCTACAGGTGTTTTAGATAAACATAGGTGTGTTTAATGTCCACATTGACATATTTGGTAGCTAATTATTTTGAGAAATCATTAGTTAAATCTGCTTTTAATTGGGTAACCTGCTCATGTAAGCAGGCAGATATGTGCAGTACTTCAGGGCTATTAAAGCCCAGACACAATAGCTGATCTCAGTTCCCGTTTGAGTCCTTGTCTAAAATTGCTTGAGAGGAGGTTTCTTGCCCACCACCAGCTGGCTACCCTTTTACACTGATCTAAGAGTTGGGACTGTGCAGAATCGCAGTGGCATGGTGCCATTCTGTCCATAAACAGAACATTGGGAAGAAGCTGCTCTTCCTAAACCTAGCAGTGGACTTCTTCCCCATGGGCTGCCCTTCCTTTTCTCTTTCCACAGTGCATTTAAAGAGCTGGCAGCAAGTTGAGGTAATTGGTACTTGCTGCTTTCAGCAAGTTCAACGGTGTTCTCTGTTTTATCTTATGAAGTAACACATACAGTTCACAACTGACTCATCTGTAAACTTCACAAAATAGTTTAAAGCTTTGTTTTTCTCATTTCTTCTCCAGAAGAGCTGCTTGTTTGTTTTTTAAGGGGTAGGCCTAGAAAAGTTAGTCTTGCATCAGTGGTATGGCAGAACTGTTAATTCCACAGCAGTGTTGGTTCCCCTCTTTGTAAATTATTCAAATATAATCCCTGTTTGGCTTACCCCAGGTAGTTTGTGATTCCATGTGACCCAGATATTCCAGAGGAAGGAGCATTACTGTGAGATACTGTTCAGACATACAAGCAGCAGGTAGGGCTAATGCCCAATGACTTAAAGAAAGAGGCAGCAAATGTCCAGGTTGTAGAAAGCCACTGGAAGGCATAGAAATGGCCTTTTTAACTCTTCTGTGGTCACAGTTGGCTTTTTGTTTGTTCTTGCCCCACACGTGAAAGGGATCTGGCTATGACGGTTACCGATACGACCAGAAATTTCTGCTTAGCCTCAAGATAGGAACACCATTGAGGAGATGCAGTACGTATACGTAATACTAGAATACTCATTGAACAATCAAGTGAACTAGCATTCTTATCCAGTTTCACTTGTACCAAGATCTTGTATCTGGTTTGGTTTATGGTGGTTGTCAGCGTACTGGATGATTAGTTATGCTTTTTATAGTTTTCTGGAGGCTTGTAATTATAGCTGAGTTTTTGTGCTGTTTTTTCCCCCAGCACACGGTGGCCTGCTTTCCAGATAACACTGCATCACTGGGGGAAAAGGCAAAAAAAAAGCATGGAATATTAATAAATTTCAAAGTAGTATGGCCATCCTCATTCCTTTTTTGTATTTCTCCATGCTGCCCCGTATGCATCAGAGAAGAACTCTGTAAAAATCAGAAGGGCTGTTCAGCTGTCATTCTCAAATTCTTTCCTGCTGTGATGCCTAGAAAATGCTTATTGATACTAAACGATCAATAAATGGAGAACTTAATTCTGAAGTGATTATAAGTGTATTTTGTTTCTTTGGTAGGCTGATGGGGTGGACTTTTTATTGCGTCTGCACCATCTGGTGCGCTGGTCTTGGTATGGTGCCATCACAACGCAAACAGAGGAGCACCATAAGTCTTACAACTTCTGCATATCTTCAGAAGCGCGTACGAGTGATTTCAAACCAGACCAGAAGGTGCTTGGGTTTTAAAGAGAGGCTGTAATAAGATGGCTTCCTGCCCAGGCAAATCCTCAACAAAAGATGAGATTCCCGATTCCTCAGATGAAAAACATAGCAGGAGTTTGCAATCTGATCACTGTTGTTACTCAGAAATTCAGCGAAAACTGAATCTGATCAGGCAGCAGTACTGTTTTCTCGCAGTTACTGCACGTGATCAATAGCCGTGCTGTAAGCTGGCTGCGTAGCCGTGTCGTACACATTTGTCATTGAGCTGTGAAAAATGAGACGGGTCCTGTTTCATCGTACGGCTAGAAACTGCAGCCTGTGGCTTGCCTCGGCCTAGTTCTGGTTTTGCTGTTGTCCAGCAGGCACAAAAAACCTGAGATATGAGGCAGAGCAACTTTTCGAAGATCACTTAGTGGTGAAGTTGGGAGAAGATGATGTCTGTAAAACAATACTGTGCATAACGTGTTCAAACATGTATTTGAAATTTGCTCTTTAGAGCAAACAAAAAAAATTCCCATTGGATCAGCGGACAGTGTGCTGGTGTTTCTGCTGTCCCTAGGCAGGACAGATCACGAGCAGTGAAAACAGCGGAGGCTCAGGTATTTCGCAGGCAGGGCTTCAGAAAACCGCCTTGTTACTTGTCCTTCCCTGGCCCGTCTCGGCTCGCAGCCACGCGTTTTGCCCACCGGGCACAGCCCCGGTGCCAGGGCCGAGGACTCCCGGC